GCACTTGCCGTGATGTGGCTTTTAAAATGTTCCGGTTTATGTAATAAAGTGGTGCATTAGTCACCACTGGCCTGTATTTGAGCTTCTGGCATACAGAACAATACCTTTCTGCAGATCACAAACAGCAACTGACCACATATTTATAAAAGAGTGCAATTATAGACCTGCCTTATAGACTACTTAAATTCCTGGCTTACATTTCATCCTCCTACTTCCATAAACACATGTACTCTGCCCGGTTTACCCAAAAGCAAAGCTGTTCATCACTTAATGCTGATTTTGCCAATTCTTTATTTCATACATGAATGCAGGATAAAAGGTTGAGGGGTTTGGGTGAGGGATGCCCTGAGGCAAGAGCTGAAAATACTACGCCTCTGTCAGCACTCTTTCTTTGGGAAAAGTTACACAATACAGCTTAAGCTTGTAGAGGATGCAATGAAAGCTTGATGAGTGTGACACTTTACTCGTAGGATTATCACATTGAGTACTCCTTTTGAGTGACTGCCAAGTGTGTGAATCTCAGGAAGGTCAAACTGATAACGTGCTCGGAGTGTTTAGGTACATTTTCTGAAGATCAGTGGTTTTTATGCTTGTCCTGTATTTGTGATTCATTGCACCCTGACTATTTCTAATTCCCAGTAACTAAATGGGAAATGTTTAACCATAGTCATTTTTAAACCAGGATTAATGTAACCCTGGGTTACCTGTTCATATTTAACTGGGTTAGCAATTAATCCTGGTAAGACTTTCAGGAAGATTTCACACTGTGTACATTGATAAGCGGGGAATAATTGTGTTAATTGGTTGGGCAAGTGTAAAATGTGGGCTGGGTATTGATACCGATTTCCCGATTCAGTTAGATTCTGATTCATTCACTAGCTCTAGAGTCGGTTTTTATTTGACTCTATTCAGTTGAGTATATGTCAGTTATAAGGTCTGTTTTGCTTGCATATGGAAGTAATTCTTTTCAGCAAACACTGTAAATTATAGGCTATAGGGAATCTTCTAACTTGGTACATTAAAAATATCAAAAATATCAGTTTTCAACATTAACAAATCTTTTATTAATATATTTATAAACATTCAATTATTTATTTATCTATTTTTATCTATTTTTATTTAATTATAAGTATTTTACATCTGCACAAAAAATTTAATGTATTTGTCATACAATATGCTGGTTCCCAGACTGTTTATTGAATGACCTTCAAAAATGTGGCCATTTCTAAACATTTCTGACACATCATAAATTGATAGCATGAAACACTCTGTAGATTGAAGTGCCTTGTGTTCCATTTCAATAGTTGGGCGGTGTACAACAGACGAGAATACCAGCATTTCTGCTCATTTCAGGCAACTCCTTAATTTTTTCAGAGAACTTTACCACAAGAATGCGGAGCAGCACATTTTTATCTCTTTCATGTCATGTCTTGTGTTCATCTCCACCTCCAGACCCCTAAGTAGGGTGCCCTCAGGCTATATGGTGGACTTGAGTGAGACAGTTTAGCTTACAAGTGTTGCTTGTTTTCACATCTGGAATTGGGTCTCTATTAGAGCCCGACCGATATGTTTTTTTTGGGGCCGATACCGATATTAGGGAGTAAAAAAAAAAGGCCGATATCGATATATCGGCCGATATTCTTTGTGTATATTATAGTACAATACCAGTCAAAAGTTTGGACACTTTCCCATTCGTGTGTCCACACATTTGACTGGTACTATATATAGAATACAGTATATACATAAACACATTTTTTGCAATGATCACTCAAATGTGGTGATCAAACACTTATAATGGTGACAGAGATATGTAAGGGCATTTAACAATTTAACAATAAACGTTATTATCCAAAATGAGTCTGACATCAGTGCACTGAACAGTAAAGTTGA